CCTTCAGCACCAGATTGGGACTACTGAGACATCCAGCCTTGTGGACTGAGAGACTATGGATTCTCAGCCTCTCCAGTGTGGTGCAGCCATTGTTGGACTACTTGGACTCTATCCTATGAGCTAAGCTGATAAATCTATACATATATATTCATTCTACCGGTTCTGTTTCTTTGGAGAACCCTGACTAATACAGGTTTCCTTCACCACATGGAGGCAGGATCCAGGGTCTCTCAGGCAGTCCTGCGTGTTGTCAACCCTATGCCAGAGGGAGGCCAAAGGGGGGCCAGAATTTGGCATTCTCTGGTGGTCTGCTGAGCTCCCAGCCTTAGCTTACCAAAGCCAGATCTTCCCTGGGGCCTTGGGAGGGGCCTCATAAAATACCAGGTAGGGAGATGGTATGGCGCCATTGGGGGAAGCTCACCACCACATGGAGGCAGGATCCGGGGACTGTCAGGCTGTCCCCCGGGTTCTCAGGCCCACTGGTGGTTGGAGGCCAGAGGGAGGCCAGAACCTGGCACTCTATGGCATTCTGCTGAGCTCCAAGCAGCTACCCCAATGGAGGAGGTCCGAACCCATCCTCTCATGCTGTCTAGTCCATGATCTTTTTAAAAAAATGTTATTTATTATTATGTGTATGAGTGTATTGCCTGCATGTAAATTTATCTGTGTTATTCAATGCCAGCAGAGGTCAGAGGAAGGCATCAGATCCCCTGGAACTTGAGTTATAGACGGTTGTTAGCTGCCATGTGGGTGCTAGGAATTGAACCTGGATCCTCAGCAAGAGAAGCCAGTGCTCTTAACCACTGAGCCATCTCTCCAGTCCCACAGCCCACATGATCTTAAAAGAGAAACTACTTGGTATGTACTTTGGATGTTGATTGAACAACTAAACACACATCTCCCACTTAAGGAGAAAAGTGCTTGTCATGAACAGTTAGGGTTAAAGACTGAGCAAATTCTATGGAACCAGAGCCACCAAGTAGCCCTCAACTAACCAGAACCTTATATTCTTCAGCTGATACTGTGCCTTTAGCCCTTGATACAAAAAACAATGTGAGGGGCTGGAGAGATGGCTCAGCGGTTGAAACACTGACTGATTTTTCAGACGACCTGGGTTCAATTCCCAGCACCCACATGGTGGCTACATACCATCCTTAAGTCCAGTTCCAAAGGATTCCAACACCCTCTTCTGACTACCGCAGCACTGCACGACACGGGTACACTCACATACATGCAGGCAATACACTCATACACATAAAATAAAAATAATAATAAAATATTAAAAAAAAGAAAACAATGTGAACATTTACTTGAGTAAAGGGTGAGAAATTCTTTGAATTATAAAAGCATTAAAACTACCAAGCAGTTTAGAAGTAACACCATGTTTTAACTTACCCTGCTTGGAATCTAATCTTCGAAATAGGCCAAAATGTCTGTAAGGCACATGGGTAGCGTTCAGCAAAGTGAGCATGGCCCATCAAGCCTCCCCCCGGCTCTTAAGAATCAGGCAAACTGGTCTCCTGTCCCTTAAACTGGTCCCTCTCCTGATCCTTATATTCACTTGGTTATTTGTTATTTCATAAGCAAAATCTTTTATCATCTTTTACTCATCCATTTTCATTTCACTTTTCACAATAATTTAAAAATATCAGAAATATTATCATAGAAGTGCTTTAACTGTATATCAAAATATATTTAAAATTGACCTAGTTGATTCTTCATCTGATACTTATCAAGTAACTGCTATATATTCAAACACTGATAGAAACAATATATTTTTGAGGAATTAAACTGAAAATGGCAAAGAAGATAATGGGACACTAAGAGATTCAAAGCCACTAACCCAAGTTGAAAATCATATGCCTATGTACCCAGTTCTGCACTACAGTCAGTAAACAATAAGAAAGAAAATTCTAAAAATACTCTCCAGGTCAAATAGCTCAAGTGCCTGGGGAGACAGCTTGGTCATAAAGTGCTTGCCTTGCAAGCATGAGGACCTGCCTTCAATCCATCAGAACCCAGGCAGAAAAAAATCTGGGTCCAGTGGCATAAGCTTTTAGTCCTAGCACTGAGAAGGAAACAAGCAAGTCCCTGGGGCTCCCTGGTTAGCCAGCCAAGCCTATTGGATAGTTCCAGGACAGTGAGAGACCTGTCTCAAAAACTGGATGGGTACTGCCTGAGAAAGGACATGCAGCATTGTCCTCTGGCCTCCTCCCAGACCCACACCCATATGTAAAAGGGTGTGTGCACTTCCACACACGAACATGCACCCCCACACAGGAACATACACACACATAGACCCAAAGACAGACAGAAAGCCAGATGCACGCATGTGCGCACACACACACACACACACACACACACACACACACATACACAAATAGTGTAGACACATATACAATGCAATAAATTGTCACAATAATAAAGCCTTTAAACACTGTCATTCTTTTAGCTGCAGGAATGCTGTCTGACTGTAAAGTAAACTAGGCAGACAGACAGTAAATACCTGTATGGATTTCTGCTTTAATACCAGCAATGCAACACTACTGAAGTGATTCTTTCCCTTACATTTTATATAAATGACACATTACTCATGATCAAATGCCTATGAATTATTAGCATTTACCAAGTATGCACATCATGCTCTATGTAATCCTCTCAGACTATCTGAAACGTGATTGTTCATGCCAACAGTGAAATCAGGCAAACACACTATCATTTATAACTATAAGCAGATATTTTATGAATATTATTAGAAAATTGCCCTGTAAGCTACCAGGAATTATTAGCTAATAACTTATCATAGTACATCTTGCAAACACATACTAAAATACTCTTACCTTAAATATGTGCCATATATGAAGAATAGTGCCATCATTAGTCCATTTAACATAAAAATTACAGCAACATAAAAGCAAGCAGGATCTCCCAGTCCTTTAAAAATAAACAAAGCATATGCTCTAGACACAAATTATGTTGTATGTCTAGCAATTTATAATAAACTGTGTGCCAGATAAATGGTTTCCTTGGTTCCCATATGAAAACAGGACATTAACCCAGAACAGAGACGAGAATAGTGCTACAGCTATGGTGTTAAAACAGGGCTGCAAGCCTGTGACAGGCCTATGCTATGGGGGTTTACGCTATGCTCCTGAGTTGGGTTGGACTGCAGTAGCGTGAGCTGGAAGCACCACTACCACCTTTTGAGGTGAGGGCATCAGAGGCCATACAGGGTCCAGGGAGAGTGAAATGGCCACAGGAGAGGCTGGATACTTTGTTATAAAAAAAGTCCAAACCCCAATGAAAAAGCCACATGTAGATGGCCCAGGTGACACCTGAGCTCCACCTCACAGTCACCAAAATGTGAGTAAAGCCTCCTCCAGTTCAGTCAGCTCTTCCTAGTCATGGCAGGCCTCCTGGCAGAAGCCCTGACCCCATGGAGACAAGCCAACCTGCTCAAATTTCTGACTTGAATAACCCCAAAGCACAGCAAAATAGTTGTTTTTTATACCACTAAGATTTCTACCACTAAGAATTATGGTATAAATACCCAATGTTCTTAGGGCTAAAGAGATGGCTCAGTGGGTAAGAGCACTGGTTGTTTTTGCAGAGAACCTGGGTTCACTTCCCAGCACCACATGGCAGCTAACCATAAATAACTCCAGTCCCAGGGGATTTGACGCCCTCTTCTGACTTCAGCAGGCACCGCATGACACAGTGTTACATACATACATGTTGGCAAATACACTCATACACATAAAATAAAAATAATAAATGTTTTTTAAAAAAGAATAGTTGTTCTCTATACCACTAAGTTTATTATGTTCCAACAAAATAAGTGGGCAGTATTAAAGAAAGCAACTCACCTTCACAGCTTTCAATGGGACTGAGTCCTTCTCCTCGGGTAACTGTCCAGCAAATCTTGGTTTGAATACCAATCAAATCCATTATTTTGGTATAAATGCGGTACCAACTGGCCAAGATCACCTTTTTTTATTTTTAAGAAAATAAAGAAGTCATAAGAAAAGACTACTCTAAATAGTTTACATTACTGAAACATGTTTTAGACATTTTCATAACTGTAGAACTTTCTCTTCCTGAGTCAGCTGTTTGGCTCCCTTTCTGTCTAAAGGAGGCCCCACAGAACTTCTGCACCCTTCACTGGTCAGTCTCTGACTGGTCATGCATAGGTAAGAATAAAAAATGTAATGAAAAGTATGCAAGATATATGTTTTTTTTAAAAAAATACAAAACTCTAAGAAATATAAAAGACTCAGACAAACACATAAACTGTTTCTAATGTTCAGAATGTAAATTTGCTCACAGATTAATTCACAAAGATTAAACGATCCTGATCAAAATCCCAAATACCTAAAATTATTCTAGAAAAATAAGAGTCAAAGAAAGAATGCCCTAATGAATATAAAGGTTTATCACTGAAAATAATTAAAACTGTATGACACTGGCAGAGGAATACCCAGGTAGACACTGTAATCATGTGCAGGCAGTGGTGACCAGACCAAGGCACTCCCAGCCCCAGCAGCTGCCCAGAAGGTTGGCAGCTGACAGTTGTCAATCTGTAGGTCTGCTCTGAGATGAAGAAAGTAATGCACTCAAGGTCACACAAGGGCAAACTGCATTCAATGAATGACTAATCAATAGAAGAGATATGTGGTTCAAGGGCCTTTGCCTGGAGGCAGGATAACAGCAGAGCTGTTATCCACAGCACCCACTGGACAGACTAAGGTCTTTGTTGTGACTCCATCACAGCTCAATGTATCATCCTAATCCCTTTATCCTCCTCCTTCAGGTGTTAGTCAAGGCACTCCCTGATTCTCTTAGTGCAAGCAAATCTCCAGTTCAGGGTCCACTTCTAAGACCTCAAAAAGGCAACATGGAACCCCAAATTCAAACACAGATGACAGTGATTATGAACAGTAATTCTGAATAGAAAAGAAAGCTACTTCCAATCAGTGTGGAGAAGATGAACCACTCATCAGAGTATCAAGGTACACAGAACATCATTCTGAAAAAAAATTCTTATTTAGCATGTCCATCAACACAAATGCCAAATAAGTTAAAAATAAATGACTAAAAAATATAAACAACAAAATTTTAAAAGTTGTTAAGATCATGGACGTAATAATACTTTATATAAAAATACGCATTCATAGCTAAAAAGCAAAATATTTTACCCATACAGTATAATGTTAATACCTGTAACATTAACATGTTAGTACCTTGTGTATTAAAAAATGAGTTAAGAAATTTAAAAGAAACAGACACAGAGGCATGAACAAATAATTTTAAATAGAGCTGCATAGTTAAACATCACTGAAATGTGTTACATACATATGAATGAATGAAACACATCAAGTAGTTATAATTTCTTCATCTAACAAGAATACAGATAAACATGTCCACAACTGCTGCTGGCATGAATTTCAACCTGTGTGGAAGGCACTTTGGCAGCATGTCCCCAGATCATTAAAGCATAGAACCTGCTGAACTAAAGTGCCATATCTACAAATTTACACTTAAAAAAAATATATCAAGGATGTATATGATAGGGATTTAGCTTCAAGGATGTTTGCTGCAGCTTTGTTTAAAAAAAAAAAAATCTAAATGGCTGAAAAAAATCAGAACTTCCCTAAAAGATGAGTTAAACAGATAATGGTAGATCATCAAACAGTCATTAAAAGTCATGCAATAAAACAGAGATGGCACAGAGGGTGGCTATAAATATTTCTAAAAGATAAAAAGGCTCACATAAAAATTATGCACCTTGTAATTCCTTTTCTATAAAGGCTATTTCAATACAGTCACAGAAAGTATTCAAAAACAGTACTTCGTGGGAAAACAATGAACCATGGAGGGCATTCATCAACTGTTATCTTTATCTACTCAATAATCAATACGTCAGTGACGCAGAAGCCGAGTCCTCTCAGTGGGAGAAGATTGCAGGCTCACTAAGGACTAAGTGGGAAAAAACTGCAGGTTCAGTAAGGCTGCCTAGCTCAGACTCAAACAGACACAGTCCAGCCATCAGGGTGCCATTCTGTGCTACGAAGGTGAACAGGAAGGCACAGGCTTTTCAGGAGAGAGCCTGGTATGAAGAGACCAAGGAAATGTCTTCACAGCCAGGGCCTAGAGAACACTTAGAGATGTGTCAAATGAAGGCAGATGGGCAAAGTCCAAATCAGTCGCTGATATCACAGTCCTCCTCCCACAATTCTCCTGGGTGGGCCTACCTTCCATCTAGCATTGCCCAAGAAGTGCTGTTAACTAAATGAGGAACCCCAGAGAGGGAAGGAATACTATCTGACAGATGACATGACCACTAAGCTGCTTCCCCACTACAAACACACCATGTGTAGACAGTTGCCCCATTTTCTAAACAGCACAATCACAGCTATACTTCCCACAGGGCCCAAGTTCTTCCCCTCCCTTGCCCAAATTCCTTCCCACGGTACATGTTTTCTTTTAAAAAGGGAAGTGAAATTTGGTGTGCTGAATCAGAACTTAAGAGTTAGAATCACTTAATAAAAAGGTTTTTTAAAAGTGAAAAATCACAGTTAAAAAAACTAACTTACCTCAGGGTAAAGATTGAACCTTTTTAATGTGTTAATAACAAGAGGGTATTCTGTCAGTTTGTCATTCATAATCATCCATACTCCATTAAAAAATGAGGGTGCTTCCACAATAGTCTTGAAGTAAGAATAATAAAGTCCCTGAAAGAAGGACACGCTCCAGTTACAATAAAAAGTGCATAATTATTATACCCCTTCTTAGCTTAAAAATATTTAAAATAGACTTTTTTGAAAAATGAGTACTCAAGTAGGTAATAGCTACAATTAATTTCACAGGTTTCTGATGACATAAATTCTTAGGCTGCAAAAAAGTACATTTTAGAAGAACCTCATCTTAATTGAAATAATTACATGCAAAAATAGCATCAAATATAGTTTCAGCACTTAAATACGCATGCAGATAATCCAGCATATGTCATCTAAGAAAATTCTATAACTTATGCTAATATAAGAGTTAGAAAAGCCTATCTTATAAACAAAGTGAAGAGTTTATTACAGAACTAAATTTGCCATGAATCAAGTAATCTTCCCAAGCCAAAAACACATCCTCCTAACTGCTTTTCTGAATACACAAAATACATCAATTACATTTCTTCCAGATTTACATGCAAAAATCCAAATAAGCTTCACACTGAAGCAGCATACAGATTTCTAACAAAAATCATTTTGCAGATCATCTTTCTTTCTATCAACTCAGCAATAAGAGCTGTGGGACCTGGGGATCAGGAGGAGTTGTACTTTGTGGCAAATTAGGAAGTTTAGTCTGACACATGATTTTAAAAGGTATAGAGTGCGGGTAGAATAACATGAGGCAAACCACCATGAAAGCAGGACTGAGGAAGGAGTTTAGCTTGCCTAGCATGCATGAGGCTCTGGGTTCAGCACCCACCACTCCATAAACTCAACACCTGTGATACCAGCACTTGGAAGGCAGCAGCAGGAAGATCAGACGTTCAAGATAAACCTCAGTTACAAAGAAATTTTAAGCCCACCTAGGATACATAAGACTCCATTTCAAAAAATGAAATAAAAAGTCCATGAAAGTTTACAAAGCATAGGCAGAGTCTGAGAAGTCGAATAAGGAGAATAAGAGATGCAGAGAAAGACAGCACAAACACCATTTCTCTGCAGTTCAGCCAGGGCTGCCTGGTTGCGGGACTACCACCTGCCCAGCTCTCAACTAGAGTTAAGGCTCACACATAAGAAACTGACTTCCCCACCCAGAATTCATTGAAAATGAAAAGTCCAGATGCTATCATGCATTAGCTCTCACATCACCACTTTAAAAACTGCATTTTCTACTGTACTGAGTTGAACAGGGGATCCAAAAACTTCATGTTCCCCGGAACTGGTGAATATAACCTTATTTGGAAACAGGGTCCTTATGGATGTAATCAAGTTGAGGTAAAGGCAAACTAGATTAAAATAGAATATAAATTGAATACTGCCAGTATTGTATGAAGAGGGAAATCTGCACATGGAGAAACAGACAAGCAGGATGAAAGGACTGCTAAGAAGGCAGAAACTGAAGACTGATGCACCAACAAGCCAAGGAAACCAGACAGCCAGCAACTACTAGTCGCCTTCGGGAAGACACCTAATTCCTCATTTCCAGGCTCTGGAACAGTCAGAAAATAAACTCAGGTTGCAGTGACCAATCTGGATGAACTTTGTTATGGCAGCCCCTAGGACTACTGTATCTACTCTGCTCTGTAGGTTTTATTCTAGAATCATAACATTTTATTTAATCAAAAACATAAATTTTAAACATTTAGGTATCAAAAAGGGAAAAGGAGTTCTTAATCATTAAGTTGGAAGAAAATTTCAAGTAATCTTTCTGGATCTCCCTAATGAAACACATCCTAACATCCAAACAAACTGCAAGAAAATCCTAAGTTGTTGTTAATAATTATGTTTAGTAATGCCTTTGCAATTTTTATTTCATCAAATAAGTAATCTGAAATGAGTAAGCCTCACAGACTAAGATATAAATATCAAATAAAATGAACCAAATCCTAAATTTTAAATGTGAATATGAATTAATGATTTATTTTCTGTTAAAAAAAAAAAAACTCTTGTTAATTCTGCTCACCAAGAAGGCAAAGAGCAGTAGCAACGAGCATTGGTAACATGGATCCTGTCTCTAAGTAACATTTACACTAAAAAGAACCTAGGCCCCTAGGAAAGCTGGTGCTGTCAGGTCTTGTTAAGAAATGTCTTGTAGCACCCACAAATAGGGAAGTTCTAGACACAGAAAGTAATTATGAAACTCCAGTGGGGGAGCAGGGTTAACTGCAAGGGATTTTCCAGCTACAAACAGCAAAGGTCACAAAACTTGTTCAACTCCATCAGCCCGTAGTGATTTTCCAACAGAAGAAACTCCACAAGTTCTGACTAGATAATGCAAGAGAACCAGCTTATTTGTATGAAAAATGGTAAATAAAACAGTCAATCATTGTCCTTTCTACTAAGAAATATATCTCAGAAAAAAACTAAAGAGGTATTGCAGGAAAATTGTTTTTAGAATTGTTTTTAGTCAGTGTCTGCAGAAGAATATAATAGAGTAACAGCTTGTCAGTTTCAATGAGAGAAGTGATCTACACTGACGGCTGGTTCTATGGAGAAATCAGTGACTCCCCAGTCTGAACATCTGAGAAGAAAGGCAACAAGTCCTGGTGTGTCTCCGAATGCTACACTAAAAAAGTGTCCAGTGCCACTTGGGAAGTATTCTGCACAGAAAACAGTCACGTCTTCAGGTATCAAGACTTTACTCCATCAATTTTTTCAGAAAATGTGTAATAGAGGAACAGAATAAGAACATGGAGTATAGTGGACAATTCTACAAGGTGATAACCTGGACCCCTCGATAAACAGCAGAAAGGGGAATGTAAGACTTAGAGATTCAGAGATACATTAGATGACTTGTAGACAGTTGCATCTGAGTTAAGGACAATTAACTTTTTAAGTGCCAATCAGTTCACTCAAACACCAATTTATATTAGAATACCAAGAAACTGCTGTTTTTATGTGTAACAATGTTATTGCAGTTAACGATGAAAAAGTCCTTTTAGGTACTTATGAAGGCATTAGTGGATGAAATTATGTAAGAAATGGGATTTCCCTGAACAAGAAGAGACAAGGGGAGAAGGGTGTGGATGAACCTATTGTTGGAGCTCTAAGACAAACAGGAATAACTAGCCATGTTTTCTATTTTGGAATATCTTGTTGAAATTTTTCATGTTAAAACCTTTAAAATTTTTGGAATCCCAAAGTACTACAATTAAATACCACACAAAACTAACCATTTCAGTGCGAAAAGCCATCTCCCTTTCCAATGTTGAGAGGTGAGAAAAATGACGATCATTTTCAAAGAGGTGCGTTATGTGGCTCCTGGAAAAATCAAAACACAAACGACAACAGTGGTGAAACACATAAGAATGCTCCAAAGCAAAGCCACACATCTGTAGACAGCTTTAAAATAAAATTGAAACACAACTGTTTCCTACCATATCTTAACATTTCTACAAAAATTTCTCTCCATAGGAAAACACATTCTAATTATATTTTAAAATTAAAATGAACCATAACAATATTTAAAGTACAATAAAAAAACAGATTAAACTGTAAATGACATTGGGTTACCATTTCAGAAATGCTTGATTAATAAAATTCGTATGTCTCTCTATCCAGAAGATTAAAAAAATTAGTCATTATCTCAACATGTACACTATATTAATGTTAAGCAAGTTAGAGTTTCAAATATAGCCTCTTTAATAATGGATATCTTTTATATTAAAAGTTGTATTGTTCTGATCCTGATTTATCAATTAAACTGCTTTTTCAGAGTATTATAGTATATAAGATACATTCATCTTTATGAAACAAAAAGTAGTCTTTCAAATATAGGGGATACAGCTTTCATAAGCTATAAATATTTACATAATATGTATCACTAAAGAAAAAAACAATCTTACCAATGCAACAGGGCCGCAAAGGAAGCTGAAAAGAAAAACAAAATTTATATTACTCTTTTAGCATAAAGAAATTCTTTTACCTTACAGATAAGTACTGCAGATGGAGATCCAGTGTGTTCAGAGTGGTATGGCCAGTAGACCAGATAAGCACTTCAAAGATAAGCTTGCAAAGTCTAATACTTGGAAAGGTTGAACCAATCTTAAAGACTGTAGAGAGAATATTGACCCCCTTGAAGCTGAGCATATATAGTATCAACAGAATGGCTCAGTCCTCTATCTACAGTTTTCATTTACTCATTCAGCAAAACACGTAAGTCCCTATTGATTTGTCAAATATTGTACTGAACCATTATATGGAAACCATTACAAAGAGAACTCAGAGGAATAGGACCAATAGGTGAAGGTATCTTAGAACAAAGAATCAAGCTGGTTGGTGAGGCCAGGGTTAGAAGGGAAATACACAAAGTATTGTCACTTTTTATCTACTACTGCAGTGCCTGCACTTTCACAATAAATCCCACTCTTGCTTTTTAAATACAGCAAATATAAAGTTAAAGGAGCAAAGAAGGGAGGGAGGGAGGGAAGATTGAGAGAAAGCAGGCTAACCGTAACACTGACTGCATCTGGAATCAATAGCTTACTTTCTGTTCAGTACCAAAAAAGTACACACTAAGTCAGAAAACATTATCAATCAGGATAGATCTGATTATAGATTTCTAATTAAAAACCACCAAGGAAATGAAAACCAAACAGCTCAGATCTTATTATTTTTTAAATATTTATTTTTAAAATTTAAATTTATTTTGGTCTTGGCAACATTAATGATTACCTATGACAGAGTTATTCTTTCTAGGTCACTGAAGCTACTAATATTTAACTTGGTTTGTTTCTTGTCCTGTTTAAAAAAATAAGTTACAGTGGGGCTGATGAGATGGCTCAGTCATTAAGAGCACTTGCTCTTCTTCATGAGGACCAGAGTTCAGGTCTCAGCACCCACATGCCAGGTCACAACCATTCTTAATTAATGGATCTGACACATCTTCTGGCCCCTGTGGGTACCAGGCACACATGTGGTGTATATGCATATATGCAGAGAAACACTCATATATATATAATAAATGTTAGAAAAATAAGTTATAAGATACTTGGACTTTTTGAAATTTTGTTTCTTTGAAAACATAGATATGTGCGGCTGGAGAGATGGCTTAGCAGCTAAGAACACTGAATGTTCTTGCAGAAGACCCAGGTTTGAATCCCAGCACCTACATGGCAGCTAACAACTGTCTGTAACTTCAGTTCCAGGGGATCTGACAGCCTCTTCTGTCCTCCGTGGGCACTGCACAACATGGGTGCACTTACCTACATGTAGGCAATACACATATACGCATAAAAATATAAAAATAATAAATGAAATATTTAAAGAAAAAACAAAAAGCATATATATGACAAATCTAACAGTTGCTTCTTTTTCCTTTCTATCATTAAAGACTTCACCCAAACACAATAAAACAGGCTTTATTGTCTCAGTAGTTCAACTACATTCTGGATAAATTATTCTTCTTTGATTGAATATAACTGATACCTCTTTCCTTCTAAAGACTAGTCACACAAACACTGGTAATTCTTTTGGAATTACAATTTAATTTATAAATTGACTTAGAGCCTACATATAACACAGCCTTCGTGTCCATAAATATGGTAGACACTTTCCATTGTTCAAATTGTTGTTCATGTGCCCCTGAGGAAAAATTCTATCAGTTAATACAGAGGGAGGATCTCATCCTCAAGGCTTAGGCCAGAAAGTGTTTTAAATGTTAGATTTTTCATTTTTAGACTTTTTCATACACACCCACAAACACCCCAACACACACACAATAGATGAAGGAAGGAAGGGAGGGAGGGAGGGAGGGAGGGAAAGAAAGAGAGACACGGACATAGGGGTGATATCCAAGTCTAAACACAAATTCATTTATGTTTTAAAAATACCATACACAGAATCTGAAGGTGATTTCATATCATATTTTCAGGAGGTGATTTTATATTGCATTCTCAGGGTGTCTGCATTCTGACTAGGACTCACAAGTTCAGGTGTGACATTTTTCCACCCTGTGGCCAAATGTCAGCACTTAAAATGTTTCAGACTTGGAGTTTTTGGATTTCTGATTAGAGATGCTCACCCTATTCATATTTCCTAAATGTTCCATTTTAACATGTTTTCTAATAGTCATAAAATTCTTTTATATGCTAATGCACATTACTGTTACTGTATTTAGCGCTACAGAATATATTTATGTTTAGCTCCTTTTAAATTATTGATATAGTTCTTTTAGCTTACCATTTAAATCTTCCATTTCACACAGTATTAGTTTTTTCTTGTTTTCTAATTGCACTGTTAGTTTCTTCTATTTGATCACTATAATCTTCTAGAATATTACTAAACAATTCTGGTGAAAAGGCATGTGCTTGGCTTGACTTCTGACTTAAACTATGCATTTCTTTTTTTAATATTTTATCTACTATTTTTATTTTATGAGTGTATTTCCTGCATGTACGTGAATGCACCCGTGTTGTGCAATGCCATGGAGGTCAGAAGAGGGTGTCCCCTGAAACTGGAGATAAGAATGGTTTGTAGCCACCATGTGGGTGCTGGGAACCGAACCCAGGTCCTCTGCAAGAGTAGTCAGGGCTCTAACAGCTGAGCCATTTCTCCAGCTCCCACAACAGTGCATTTCATATCCCGTCATCAGTTTAGCCTTTCATCTTCTATTTGGAATGACAAGTAAGACTTCTCAGACCACCATCTTTGTGGCCTCAAACTATCACCATCTCTTGGGAAGAGGATGGAAGGTACAAGATGCCTTTAGTGCCTTTAATTTGTTCCTTTAGTACCAGGGTAGACAGCAGACAACTGGCACTAAACAATTAGTAAATTAGGCTTTTCCAATGTTCAGGGATCATTCAACATTTGCTCAAAGTCTCAATTCCTCTCTTCCTTACAATAGTAACATCAAATGCTCACTACCTACCCAGCATGCTGTAAAAGCTTTACCTGCACTAAATTAAATCTTCACAATTTCCCTATTGTGGTAGGTATAAATACTTCTCCCAGTATGAAGAACTAGAGCACACTGCAGTTGAATAACTTGCCTAACACCACACAGCACAGTGGGCAAACTGAGAAACTAAGGGGCTTGGCTAAAGAATTTGAACTTAAGATCAACATACTGAATGGCTTCTGTAGAAGAGGACAGAAAGAAAGGAGAAGAGACAGCCCTGGCCTTCTTTGCCATAAAGAATCCCTGATCTCTGTTCCTCCTTTTTAAAAAAACAAAACAACAACAACAAAAAAAACCTTTATTTTTATTTTATGTGTACGAGTGTATTGCTTACATGTATGTTAAGTACACCCATGCTGTGCAATGCCCATAGAGGTCAGAAAAGGGTGTTGGATCCCTTGGAACTGGAGTTTACAGATGGTTGTTGGATGCCATGTGGGTGCTGGGAACCGAACCCAGGGTTCTCTGCAAGAGCAGCCAGTGATCTACAAGTGCTGAGCCATTTCTCCAGCCCCAAGGTCTGCTTTTGTAATTTCATGTAAGGGGCCCAATTCTTCACCACTGAGGGGTTTGAAAGGCTCTTACAATTTACTGTGAAGCACAGAAATTGTCCATACTAAAGCTAAATTTTACTGGGACTATGCATTAACTCTTTCTGATTAAAGAAACTGTACAGATTCTATGCCACATTATATCAATTTTCAGTCTTTTGAGATTAGAGAGAACTCATTACAAAAAATTAAGTCTTCTGTTATTAGACTCTAGTTAAACAGGATAGATCATAACTCCCTGGAGGTAGATAGGAGATCAGAAACAATGTTACTGAACTTTACCACAGTACACCTTAGCCTGAGTACACAGCTGGGACTCAAATGTTCTTGAAATTAGTATGAATTACTAAATGTGATAGGAGGCTGCAAAATAATCCTAAACTATGTCATGTAATAAAGCTAAATCTAATCTGCTTTGGTAGACACATGTGTATGTAATCCCCCCCCACCCCATTTACTTCCTTCAAGTTAGACAGCTCACCTACAGGTGACCAGAAGCCAGGCCTTGGAGTTGAGGCCAGGAGAGTGAGCAGGGCCCCCAGGATCCTGCTGCATTGGGTTGGGCTTGCCAGGCTGACTTCCGGTATGTGGAGCAGGCAACTGTATACTTTGCCCAGCGGGCACCTCCAGCAAACAAAGTTTCTCTTACCCAGGCTCCACCCTCGTGCCCGCTGCAGATTCCATATTTCAACCACAGCTTGAGGGTTCAGCAGGGGGTGTTTCTCTCCTTAGCCTTACAGCTACATTTTAAAATCCTACAGCTAAGAGCCAGGTGAGGTGCCACAGGCCTTTAGCACATGTCTTTAATCCCAACGACTCAGAAAACAGAGGCAGGCAGATCTCTGTGAGACTGAGGCCAGTCTGGTCCACACAGCAATTTCCAGGCCAAAAAAACAAAAAAACAAAACCAGTTCTCCAGCTGAGACCAGCCATGCTGAAGTTTGAGACCCAGTATCCTCCTCTCACCTGAGATCAGGAATGAGGTAGCTCGTGCAGACCCCTCAGTTTGCCTACAGGACCCCCAAGGCTACAGCCAGCCAGTGATTTCCCAAGCACAAACACACATCCTATCATGCTATACTTTCCCTTCACACATGTATTTTACAACTAATACCCATGCTTTTGGAGGTAGGTGATATCTGTGAGATCAAGGCCATCCTATTAAGCATAGTAAGTTCCAAGCCAGCTGGGGCTCCAGGGAGACCCTGTCTCAAAAAGAACCCCCCCCAAAAAACGGATTTAGGTTCACAAAATCAACACATTAAACACTCAAGCAGATGGCAAACAGGCTAAGAATTGCAGAAATGTACAGTGGATCAGTGACTTTCTTAGGACATAGTATATTAAACCAGGAACCTAGAAGGAAGAGGCCTTGAGACATGGATACAGCTTAGGTGAGGGGTTATAGTAGACAGCCT